TTTCCCTCTTCATGATTTGGTTAACCAACTTTTCCAATCATGCAATGACAGTTGAATAACTGATCTTTTGGTTTCTATTTTTTCTGTTTAACACATGAAACTTTAAATTATTACTGAGGTTTTTTTTTGTAATTGCCACACAATTTATGATTATTTTTTGGTAAATTAAATCTTTTCATAAAGTTATAAGTTAAAATATTTAAAAACAATATTCAGGTAAATATGGTTTATGATAAAATGTGTTCAATATTTTTAAAATTTAACTTTGAATATTTTGTGCCAATTTGCAGAAAATGTACTAGTTTGATAAGGATTTAAAATAAGAGTTAAAATGGATTCATAAGTAACAGTTATTATTTTTAAGGACAAAGGGATTGAAGTTGGAATGTGATTAAATTTGGAATTTATTCACGTGATTAATATACGGAAAATGATGTGCATTATTGTATAATAAGAGATCTAATGATTTGTATTCTTTAAGTCTTTGCTTTCTTATATATTAACATCATAAGCACAGTATTATTATCATTTAGTGAGACTTACTTTTGTTACTCTTGAATCTTAAAGAAGACAATCCTTTATCAGAACCTGTCTATATGGTGTTAGAAAATCCCAAAGAGCTTTACCAAATAACAAAAACCATATCACTTGAACACTCTCAATTGTCCATCTTGGGTATGACGATAAACTACATCCGTGTCCAGGGTAAGACAATAAACTACGTCCAACAGCAAGGCCTCTGATCAGGAGGCTTTGAGGAGCATGGAGCCACCTATTAATTGCTGGTGTTCCCAGGTCCACCCTGACCCTGGGTGGTAGCACCTGTTAGAGTCCCAGCTATGGGCAAAAGGTTAACCCTGAAACTGAGGTAAAAAGCATTATGAAAGTGTGGATCTGGGTTTTAATACCAGAAATACTTTGTAAAGAAATTATTACCAAAAATAAATTTTTGAAAAAAAAAAAAAAATACCAGCAATATGTTTTTGAAAAAAATAGATTTTTGACAGAACAAAATATTACCAGGAAAAAAAGTTGTTGGCATTAAATGACCCATTGAGGTTGATATGCTGTAAAACAAACCAAACCAAACACTCTCAACTGCAATGAGTAGCACATGTAAATAGAAGAGAAAATGATATAATCATGATTTTAACATTCCACACTACCAAAAACAAAACATTTGGAAGAGACTCTTATGGGTACTAGAAAGAGTAATAACACTAGATTTGAGAAGCCTAATTTTCTGAAACTCTGTTTTAAGGAAAAGATTTTATAAATTTCAACTGACAGCAATGCTAACTGTTCAGTTAACGAATGCTGATAGTTTTCTACATGAAAATTGCTAATTTAAGAAGTACCATTTAAAACAGAGACATGCTCACCTCTAATTTGATTCAAGAAGTTGGTGTCAAGGTAATGGCTTTGTTTTCATTTCAAAGATTTCCACAAAAGAAAAATTCAAAACATGAAACAGTTTTACATGAATTTCCAGCCACTCATTATCTTCCTTTAAACATGTTAAGAGCATCTGATTAAGTTTTACTTTTTGGCTGGGCTTCATTCATAGAAGTCATTTTAACTGATGAAGTTCTTTCATTCACAATACAAAATTAGAAATTGGTGATCAGATTGAGAACCTATAGTTTAAAATTAAAGGTATTAGAGTTACCTGACTCTTTTGAATAGTTGAATAAAAGCTTCTGTTATTGTTAATATGATGTCTCTTCTATCCAGCTGAGATCAGAATGTAAATAAATATGATAGGGAGGTTGTGGTGAAGGAGTGCGAGAAGATTGTAATGGATGAGGTTGTAGTTGAGAACTTTCAAAGTTATCAAAATTAACATTTTTATAAGAAATAAATTTCAACATGTGGAGGAGTTTTATACATGTTTATATAAAATACAACTTAGTTTGCAATAGAAATGAAAGAATTTTTTTTTTGTGTGTGCACAGATAACTTCAAAAAAAAAATAGGTAAGAATTGAATGTGCACAACATATTTGGATAAGATGCCTGCTGCTCAGGGTGTGTCTCTCAGGAGGAAGAATGGAGATGTTTTCTACCTACTGCATCCTGGAGCAAAAAGAAGAGAAACTGAATCCTTCCCTTTTATAGTCTGGAATGGAATACCAAATAGCAAGTATTCTGGCAAGTAAGGTAGAGTAGCCCTGACAAGGTCAAATTTCAAGGAATCAAGTATAAAAATATTTTAAAACTTAAAATTTTTTCCATTAGACATTTTAAAATGAAATAATAAATTAATTTTTGACTATCTACAGATCGTGAAAGGGTTTTTCCTCTTAGCAATTCTTCAAGCGATGTTTTGTTTCATGTGGCAACACTCATTTGACACTCTACCGTGATTTAATCTTATCTGGATAATGTTATTTAAAATAATTGCAAATTTGATAAAAAAGTTTCACTCTAACAGCTTCCCCCCCCAACTCCAAGAACTCCTACTTTGTGGAAGTGATTCTTGCATGGCTGCTTCCCTGAACTACAATCATACCATCAATGGCCAGTCATTATTTATGCTCCTTATTCTCATAATTTTAATTTTCTACCACTACCATTTCCATTTATTGTAACAATAACCTGCTACCTTGAGTAGCTCTTGAACTTTATATTAAGTGAATTTTAGTATGAAAAAGATGATATTTTGTTAAAAAAAACAAGAAAGTATAGTTGATTTTGCATATGTTTTGATAATTATGAAACTAATTTAATTAACAAAATTACATTTTCTTGTTTATTAATCTAATAATAATTATCAACAAGCATGTTTTTAAATGTTATTTTTTCTCTTTTGTTCTTTTGAGAAAAACCTTTAAATAATTATATGCCTTGAAAATCTTTTCCCTAAAATCATTAAGTATTTTGAATTGTAATTTAATTAAATTATCCCTCATTGGGAGAACAGTAGAGCAATACCATGAGGGTGTAAGATTTTTGTTTTCCAAAAAATTGTGTATGGGAGTTTTATTATGGAACAATTAACAAGCATTAACCTTAAATTGAAAGAACATTCGGATATTTATTTTTTTCATATTTATCTCAAAGCAATTTTTAAAGGCCAATTATAAAGTTGATGAATTTATTTAGTGAAGTATGTCATCTCTTCACAGATTTATTTCATTAATCTTTTCTCAAGAGAATGCTTTTATCAATTGGTTTTGTTTTGATAGTGGATTTGGTCCTTTTTTGAGAGCTTCATAAGTGAGGCCACATGCCAAACTAGATAATGTCCAATAAATATCTATAAAAGAAAGACTATCCTATCGTAATAGTTTCTTAGATAAGACAATTTGTTTTTGTTATTAAATACAAGGTGATAAATAATCTATTGAATAAAAACAAAACCCCAAAAAGCAAGTTGCAGAAAATGCCAAAGATAGTGAGAATGAAGTAATCAAGTTTGGAAATGTAATTTGTTGTTCCAAGCAACAGATTGGTAGAAGACAGGTAGACCAAAAATATAACAGTCTATGCCAAGAGACAGAAGTAGTCAAAGAAGGGGTTATTAATTGTCATAAGTATTTTGATTCTTCTCTTTTTGATATGGATTCTTTAATAAAAATATTAAAATTGCAATCCCTTCACAGATGAAGGAAAGAATTGAAGTAACTGAGGTTCTACAGAAGGATGCTGAGAGTACCATGTGAGCAATGACCAAGTTTTAGAGAAAATGGAAATAAAGGACATATACTTAGAGACAAAAGTTCTAGTACAATTAATGAGGAAAGAAGGCTTGAAGAGTTTGACATTCACAGGGTATATTGAAGGTGAGACGGACAGTGGAAAGCATTGAATAACCTACCTATCTAGCTTGTGTGAATGGTTGGCAGAACAGGGTTTAGCAGAGATAGAAAAATAATAACTTTTACTAAGAGCTACAAAAGACAAGAAGTTGTGGAGAGTCATGATCGCCCACATGCTGGAGAGCATTGTAAATAGAAGAATTTACATGCATTTAATATTAATCTTTCAAACATGTAAGCAACAGCAAAATTTTAGAGAAAATGGAAACAAAAAAGATACTTAATATCAGGAAGACATAGTTGAAATTTCTAGGGCACATAATGAGGAAAGAGGGTTTGGAAAATTGAAGGTTATAGGAGAGAGGAAAACAATGCATAACCTACCTAACAAACTTGACTAAATGGATAGCAGAACAAGGTTTAGGAAAGATAAAATTTATTAAGAGCTACAAAAGACAGGACATTGTGCAGAGACATGATCTCTAACAACCTGAAGGAATATGGCACACAGAAGAAGAATACTCTTGCTATTGAATTTGTTTTCTTTAAAAAGTCTCAGAATTATTGAAAAGCAACTTAAATTCTTTAGAATATCTATGCATTTCTAAGGTATTCAAACCCTTTCTTGCCTTCTATTCTATGTTTGGCTGGCTGTGTCTTTTTGTATAAAATATCTTAGTGACTAAGATATATCTTCCATGTTTTTTTTTAATTCCTGGATTTGTTTTACAGTCTCTGCTGGAGACCAGAAAATGTATTGCTTGAAAGAACACTAAGGATATTAATATGGCTAATTTATTGAGTTTTCAGACTGTTGTGTTCTGCTCAGTGAGAATGAAATTACTTAACCTGTTGCAAGTAGGTATTAGTAAAATGTTAATCATTTGGTCCCTCTCTGTGAAAAGGATGTGAACTAATTTTAGTCTGCAAATTCTTACTTGCAGACCCCTGAATCAAAGACTGCATCCCACTCAAAACACTTTGGTGATGGGCCTAAATTAATATCTAAAAATATAAATTTTACAGTTATGAGATCAAATATTCTGAGAAAAAGTTTTTTTTTACATATTTGAAATTACAGCTTTTTTTACTTTGATGTTTGTTGTGACTGCCATTTTCAAAGAATTAATTCATCAGAGGAAACACTCAAAATCACAGCTATCAGTCTGCTGCTCTAACATGCTCCATACAATCTTTAATGTTGTTCAGCGTACTTCTATTATAAATATAAGGATAGAAATCAATAATTTTTGGTCAGTTGGGTTTGGAAATACCAGGAGACTGCTGAAGTTGTGTTTAAGCAGGATAATATTGGTAGCAGGTTGTTGAAGACCAAACCAGTGGAGAGGAAAGAGATGGGGAGAAAGAGTGTCAGAGTCACAAATGACAGGTGAAAATACCAGCTGATATGAAGGTCAGTACAATATTTCATTGGGAAAACCAAGAAAAATGAGAAAGACATAAAAGAAAATGAGAAGAGATTATAAAAAAGGCCTACAGTGACAGGAGGATAGAGAAAGCAAGAGGAAACAAAATAGAAAGGGAGATGTTTCAGAAGAGAGACAAATATGAGAGAGAGAGATATAAAAGAAATGCAGAAGAGATTATAAAAAAGGCCTACAGTGACAGGAGGATAGAGAAAGCAAGAGGAAACAAAATAGAAAGGGAGATGTTTCAGAAGAGAGACAAATATGAGAGAGAGAGATATAAAAGTAATGCAGAAGAGATTATAAAAAAGGCCTACAGTGACAGGAGGATAGAGAAAGCAAGAGGAAACAAAATAGAAAGGGAGATGTTTCAGAAGAGAGACAAATATGAGAGAGGGAGACAAAAATGAGAGAGAAAGATATAAAAGTAATGCAGAAGAGATTATAAAAAAGGCCTACAGTGACAGGAGGATAGAGAAAGCAAGAGGAAACAAAATAGAAAGGAGATGTTTCAGAAGAGAGACAAATATGAGAGAGAGAGACAAAATGAGAGAGAAAGATATAAAAGTAATGCAGAAGAGATTATAAAAAAGACCTACAGTGACAGGAGGATAGAGAAAGCAAGAGGAAACAAAATAGAAAGGGAGATGTTTCAGAAGAGAGACAAATATGAGAGGGAGACAAAATGAGAGAGAAAGATATAAAAGTAATGCAGAAGAGATTATAAAAAAGGCCTACAGTGACAGGAGGATAGAGAAAGCAAGAGGAAACAAAATAGAAAGGGAGATGTTTCAGAAGAGAGACAAATATGAGAGAGGGAGACAAAAATGAGAGAGAAAGATATAAAAGTAATGCAGAAGAGATTATAAAAAAGACCTACAGTGACAGGAGGATAGAGAAAGCAAGAGGAAACAAAATAGAAAGGGAGATGTTTCAGAAGAGAGACAAAGAAAAAGGTAGCAAAAAAATAAATAAATGGAAAATAAAAGTAGTTGAAAAAAAGAATAAAGATACAGTAAATATTTGATAAAGTTAAAGAGAAAAAATGTATGGAAAAAATTAAGAAGAAATCACGGAAAAAAAAAATGAAAAGATAGGAATAAAAGTAAGAGAGAAAAAAAAACTTCTCTTTTTTCAATTAATATTTTATTTAATAATTTCCATAGTTTGAATGCCTATTGGGAATTAAGCTCACCTCAGAACTCAAAATCCATATATATAATACCCACCACTAAAGATAGTTGAAAAATGGTTGGTTCCAGGTAGTGCTCCAGTAAGTACCAAATTCCTCCTAAAATGCTCTACTTTTATTACAAGAGACAGATCAGGTCAAAAATGGAGTATTGCTGTCACATCTGGGCTGGATCTGTTTAATCCTCAATTTCCAGCCTTGATAGAGTTCAAAAGCCTTTGTATAGCTTTGTGGGTGATTAATTGTTTTCCACCATACAAACCTTTTCCTACAGACAAAAGGTTCCAAGCTTCTTACCACAGTCTTGCTATTTCTGTGGTAAATGTTCAAACAAGCTACATTCTTAAGTTCTACCAAGTCTAATTCTCGCAACTAAACCTGCCATACCATATACACTGAGGTGAACGACCCACATTCCCTTTGTATCCCATTAGGGAGAACAAACTTGAGCAGCTTTTTTACATAAACTGAAGAATTAAAATGTCATATAGATTACATAAAAAATAGGGAAGAAGATTTATTTTGCATTATTATTATTATTCTGTGTGATTGTATGTATGACTGGACTACAAAACTGGTTGCACAACTGACATATAACTAAGTGTCTGTTGCCAGAGTGTCTTAGCAACCTGACTTAATATTTCTTCATGCATCCAATGTTTTTCCTTTCTTATTTTTATTCTTTTTCTGTGTCAGTTCATCTTTAATACGCATATGATAACTATTCAGTCAGTAACTGCAGAAATATATATGTGAGAGCAATGATACTGCCTTAGTTATCAACATCTGGGAAATTTCCATGGATCCAGTTAGTTTAGGAGAATATTGATAAATTTATTTAGAGTTATTTATTTAGAAATTTCTTTTGCAAAGACATGGAAATAATTAACTATCAACATAGTTTATATTTTTTATTTGTAATGCAACATTTTCTCAGCATTTAAATTTTATGTTATATTTTGAATGACATCAATACTGTCAGTTTATATGATTGGCAAAGTTATTCAATCTGGATTAGATTTAGCATTTAGACTTTGATGTGTCAGGTAAGCAATTCTTTGTTATATAAATTTTGGATAAAACAAACTTATGTCTGACTGATAATGACAAGGTAAAAGTTATTCACAATATTTCTTAAAGTTGGGAAGTGAAAGATTTTCATTATTCTATAGCTTTTCAAAGGATTATATTCATTTTTGGCTGTGTGGGTAGTGTAATGGTTACAGGCTTGGAACAAGACTGGTCAAGTTACATTCACTTTTACACAGATACCCTTGGAAGGGGTATGAATCCATCTCTTAGTCCTCTCTCTATCAGGATAGATTGAGGTCTGTAGCCATGGTTGGCAACCAGTCTAGCAGAAGGACAAATTTGAATTCCAAACTGTATGTAATCCTAGTGAAGTGCATACTATACAACCATGTAAAAAATTACAGTTCACAATTAACTGTAACATGGGGATTGTGGACTTTATGATCTTGACTGAGGGTGAGGAGTTGATTGCTGATATTTTCTTTGGCCTTCCTTGAGTGTATGTTGTGTCTGATGATCTCTCTGACTTCTAAAAACTAGCTATATAATTTTTTTTACAATGATGTTCACACTGTAAAAGGCCCAGAAGACACTCAATGTAGAGGGTTACAGAATAAGAGGTATAGTTTATGGGGATATGTGGGGAAGATAATAGTTGACTCTAGAATTGAACACGTTAAGCTTGTAGTGATTGGGGAAGCATCCTCTTTGGAGTTGGTTTTGCAAAGCATCATTTTGTGAGAAGCTGCTCAATTGGAACTTACAACCCAAAAATGGAATACAGAAGGAATGGGGGGGTGCTACAATGTTTGTGGCAATTGGTGGAACTAAGGAATTTAGGCCGTTGGAGCACTTTCCATGGAAAAAGTGATAGAGCAGCAAGAGCTTTGGAAACTTTTGTCTGTGGGAAAAGGCTTTTAGTGTGGAAAATAATTCATCACCCACAAGGATGCAGAGACACTTGCAAACTCTATCAAGGCAGCAATACTCCGTTTTTCAGCCTGATTTGTCTCTTGTAAGAGTAGAGGATAGCAGGAGAACTAACTATTTTTTCAGTATCTTCAGCATTGGATCATACGTATGAGTTAAACTTTAACAAGAAATCAAGTTGAAGTCCTAATAGGTGTTCAAAGCATGAGGCCCCCCTGAGAGAACATCCATTGTTTGCTGCTACATGACACATATCTGCATCTTGTGGCAAGCTAGATATTGCCTCTGATCCACATGTGTATCCATTCTATAATTGTTATTTCTCTAACAATAAAAATTTGTGAATATTTTTTGTCTTGTTTTGTTGTTGGCTAAAATTGACCATGACACAAAAATGTCTTATATAGCATTATAAGTAACAAAACCAGTACCAGAGGCATGCATTAATATGTTAGCAAATAACACTGTTATGACCTTAGATGAAAATGAATAATTTTTATTAATTTAATATATAAATAAGAAGTAACATAAAATATTGTCTTATTTTAAATATAGTTTAGTTGAATTCCTCTTTCACTGAATCATCAGCTACTGACTGCTATATGCACTTCCTGACTTTAATCTTTCTCCAAATTTACACAATATTTAATTTAGAAGCATCAAAATTGAATTTTTACCTATCAGTGTTACAAATTTTCAAAACAAATGTCTGCTTACAACTTTCAAGTGTTCATGACAGAAGGTATAACTTCATTGCATCTCCCAAAGATGCTGTATAGTGCAATTGAAATAAATATGTCAAACTTAATAAATAAAGAGTAAGCAATATGTATCTTGTTTCTTTTAGGAATATATGCCATTGATTAGTATAATTCCTTGTAAGTTGATGAATTTTTATTTTATTTATCAAAATAAAGAATAAATGATTTTATATAACAATTTCTAATGATAACTCTACCAAAAACATAAATGGTATTATGTCAGGGATCAAATATCCAAACTAGCAATAAATATGGTGAGAAGGAAATCTTTCCAGACCTTTTTCTTATTATTACTATTTTGTGACTTTTTGAGCTATTACAAGAATATAAAGTATTATCATTTTATGTCTCTTACTATATTTGTCCCTTAATGTTTGGTGGACTCATATGAGTGGGAGTAAAAAAACAAGGATACAAAATATAGAATTCAAACAATCATAAATAAATGTATTAACAAGACATGTTAAAAAAGGATAAAGAAAGAAACAAACTAGAAGTTATGAACAGTTCAATACAATCTTCAAGGGGAAAAAAGAGGAAGAGCCCTTCAAATATTGTGCTACCTGTGATTACTGTCAGAAATCCAACAAAGTAAACCCATATCACAAGTAATCAACTAATTTTCTTGAGTTTTTCACATTGAATCATGGATTTTTAAAATTGTTTTCATACAAGATTACATTCCAGTTTGAAATAATTGGCAATTTGTTTAAAATCAATACAAATTGACATCATCATCATCATTGTTGTTGCTTGTTTGGGACTAGACAGATGCCAGAATCAAGGATTTTATGAACAAATGAAGTTTAATGTAACCAAAGGCAAAGTAAAGCATTTACTGTTTTGTTTTATCATTGATGCCAATGTAACTTACATAAGGAAAAACCTAGCTTAGACTTAGTGGAAATTTGGAATGGAAATTTTTATAGTATTAAATATTATTTACTACTAAATCATTGTCATATTCTTTATTATTAAATATTAATATTATTTCCTCTATTAAATAACAGAAAATTTATTAAAATCCATTAATTAATTTATGGTACATTTTAAAAATTGAATTCTTTTTTCCTTAAGAATTTTGTAATTATTACAATTATATTTGTTTATGGGTAAACAGCTTTTCACACTGCCACTTTTCACAAATATCTTCGGTTTTATAGAGTATACCTTTGTGTACTAAATACAAGTGCCTGCATGATTAAATTATTTTCTTCTGTTTTCTGCTCAGCATAGTGCTTATTTGATATGGCAAGCTTATTATTCTTTAAATAATTTTCTCTGTGACAACATTATTCCATTCCATGTTTATTAAACTTATATAAAAACTTTCCACTGAACATTTATTTGAATTGGTACACTTAGTTTATAAGTTGTAAAATTCCCATTGGCATGACTATTCTAGACAACATTTGTATTCGGTACAAAAGAGTAAACAATTTTTATGTCATAATTTGTTCTTGCTCTTTTTTTTTTTCTTATTAATGGCACAAAAATTTTGACAGTACAATTTACTTTTATACAATTTGTTTTATTTTTCCCCCAGGTGTTGATTTCCTGACAAAGGTTTTGTTCATACAAAAATAAGTGCCAGGTTCAAATCATTATTGCAAACTATCAGAAGTGAATCCCAGATACATGAGGTTCAAAATGTACAAAACTATGAGTTGCAGTAAAAATCAGATTCTGAACTGATTATGAAATGAGTCAATATAATAGTCTACTGTAGATGGTGGATGAATCATGTAGGGTTAGTGGCCATCTGGTACAATGGTGTAGACTGGGCTCCATAGCTATGCATGTACCCATGGTGGTGATGACATGTATTGCTGGGTAGAGGGCTTCGTAGATAGAAATCAGTGGCCTGGGAGAAGAGTTCCTTAATGGAATCAATGGTCATATGTTCATGACCAAGGCAAACCTTTAAGCTGTGGTTTGATCTGGAGAGGGATGGATCCTGCCAGGTCTATTTGCCCAAGACATGCTATGCATAAATGAATATCTCTCTTTCATCCGAGATATATAGATGAAACTGGTCAGGTTTGGAGCTGCACAGTGGTCCAACAACCACACACAAAGATGGGACAGATGATAATATAGATTGAAGGCTTTGTTCCAAACTTAACTTTGTTCTAAAATATCCAAATTTATCAACATCCTATGTGGTAAGAGTTAATATTAACCATGACAATCTTAGAAGACGATATCAAAATGAATGCAAAGTTGATAAAGCCTTACCTGTGTATGTGTCGAAGATTAAACTGAAGTTGCAACCAAAGTATGTTGATCCTTCAAAGTTGCTAAAAAGGATTCTTCTTTGATTTATAATTCTGAAAAGAAAAAAAGAAAAGTATTATTAATTTTGTTTCTTCTGAGAATTGTTGGTGGGTCAATAGTTGCTGTGGTAATTCTCCAACAAGAAAATAAGAGAACTTCTCTTTAATAACAGAATAACAGAAAGGAGAATTATTTGTCACTGTATTCCCAGATCATATTTACAGTTATATACATATTCATCATCATCAAAGTCATATGGTGTGATCATAGTGTCACAATGCATCTGATCACCTGACTTGTTCCCTCCATATGTCTTGGTTGCATAATAATATTTGAGTCTCTGTGAATGATCTTCCAGTCTACCTCTTCTTTTGCCTAAGGTGGTATCTTCTAGGATGAGAGTCAAAAGATTGTTGGCTCTTATGACATGTCCATATATATATATATATATATATATATATATATATATATATATATATAATTTCTCAGACTTAACCTGTAGAAAAAGACAATATTTATAAATGTAAAAGACAATAGGAAAACTGTTATATTTACTGACGCGTTTTGTCGAATGTGTACTTTTTCAAGGCAAAAACAAAATGAATTTATTAAAACAAAGTAACTAATAATAACATTTTGTTTTGTTATTATTAGTTAATTCAAAGAAGTGTCTGTAATTTTATTGATCCTGACCTGGCATCTGTACTTCAGTCACTTTCCCACTATCATGACATGGCTTCCCTCTGTCTTTTCTATAAATATTTTCATGGCAGTTTTAATGTCCTCTCCTCCTCAGTACCTCAATCACATGAATTTAACTGTACTACAAGAATCACAACTAGGTCTCATCATTTTTTTCTGTTGAAATAGCTAGATGTAGCTGTAAACTCTGTCCAAATAGTTACTTTTCTTGCAATTCTTCCCTCTGGAACTCTCTTACAGTTTCTTGCTTCCTTGCAACATCAACTGCCATCTCCTGTCTTCCTGAAACCTGTTCTTTTATTGTCCTTTCTTCTGATAAATGTTTTCTCATCCTCTTCAACTTCCAGTATCCTCTTGTATTTTAGTAGCATTATCACCTTGCTTGATTAGTCCATTTGTATCTCCTTTTGTTTCCTTGAGCAATTTTTATTCACTGTTGGCCTGCTAAGCCAGTCACAGCTTCACTAGTGCCCTGTTAGCCAGCATTACCTGTTTCCACCTCCCATGAAAAGGATGAGAGGTTGGCATACAAGTGCCAGACATGGCCCCTAACAAAAACCCTTGAGAGGAAACTGATCACTTGTGAGATGAAATGGCTGAGGAAAGCAGTGAACAAGACCAGGTGAGACATGATCAGGAATGAGGCAATAAGAGATATGGTAAAAGCAATACCGATCATACAACATATCGAATGACTGAGGATCAAATGGTTTAGACACCTTACTCATATGCCTATCAACCAACCAGCCCTATGAGCATACACCCTCTGGTACTCTGATTGGAGAGCAAGAGGCAGACCAAGAAAATGCTGGAGTGACTCAGTGGCAGACACTATCAGAGCCCACGAGATATCTCTCTTCCAGACTACTCACCTTGCCACTGACAAACAACTGTGTCTCCCCTGCAATGCCTAACAGCACAAGTGGAAGGAAAAACAAACACATCAATTTGCTTAGGGTGAAATTATTAAAAAAAAAACCAGATAAGACACTTTGTGTCTTCTTCTTGGCAAGGGCAAAGCTGATAAAGTCACATAACCAAGAAAGATACTAAATCATAAAGTAATACACTTTTTGAGTCTTTTTTTCCCAAAATTAGACATTAAGACAGCTTGGAACTTATGAGCAATTAACAAACGGAAGAATGTAGAGTTCTTTTGTGAACAGAATGCCTTTGCTAGTTGAAGTTGTGGAACCTTCATTGTAAGGTTTTAGAATATTTCAGCTAGGAGAACAAGAATGGTACAATGCTAGTTTAAATGAATGAAACAAAGTGAAGTGTTCCTAAACATTATACTCACGCACACACACATACACACATGTGCACTTGTATGCATAGACAATATTTTAAGAAAATGTAAAATATAAAATTTAACCATGTCAATGTTTTCCACAAGATTAATTTTTGATTAAATATTCAAATGAGTAACAAAAACTTCTTAGGAGTTTTTGATGGATTGAATTCTACTTATTGTATTGAGCATTCTTTTAATCTCTCAAACATATATACACGCACACACAGAGAGCTTAAGTCCCATATAATGTTGGAACACTAGTTTTTGCACAATCACCAAAGTTATAGCAACGTCAAACCTTGTCAATGTCTAGATGGATAACTACTTGGGAATACCAGGTGTTGTAAGCTTGGATGTGCAGGTGGTGTAATGGATAATGGTTAGAAATTGGAAACTGTAGAGCTGGGTTCCAATTCCAGTTCAGTTCATTATATTCACTTATGTGCAAATATCCTAGGGAAAAAGTATAAATCCACCCTACCTCTGCCCAGCTGTAGATTAATTAAAAAAATTCTTATAATCTAAAATTATTTTTCACTTTAAATAACCTGCAAAGTGTTGATAAGCCATAAAGACAAATTGATCAATTAATCACATACACATACATATTTGTGCGCAAATAGGTATTTATATAAAATCTATTTAAGAAGTGCAAATTCATTTAAATAAATTTTTTAAATTCAGCTTAACAGATCTGTTTTTTTTTTAATAAGTTGTATATCCAAATCAAAATAAAGTTGTAGTTATTGTATAAGGTTGTTTGTTAACAAACAAATGTATTCTATAAAATAACTATTTTCCAGTCCATAATTAGTTCTATTCAGTAGTTGTTACAGTATTTAAAATAACCATTTCTGCCAGTTCAGTCAATATTAGAATAGCACAATAAACTAGAAATAACTGACGTTGCTATCCATGATACCCCAATGACTAATATATATAGTTAAGCTACTACTTGCATGACATGAAACACTGTCAGTATTCTGTGTTGTTCTCTGTGTCCATTCTCCTTATATATATATATATATATATATATATATATATATATATATATATATATATATAAAATAAACCACTCTGAAGATCCTTTTTAGGTGAAACCTTGGTAGGAAGGTTCTGACTCACTAGGTTTTTTAAATGTTGCTCTACTTAGTGTATAGAGCATTTTTATGTTTTTAGTTAATTTACTGTCGGTGATTTTTCTTTTGACTAGGCATTGTGGTGCTGATTGATTAGTTTTGACTGATACAGATGTCTTTAGTCTTTTCTTTTTTTTTAATTAATTTTTTTTTCCCTGATATCAGTTTGTTCAAATATATTTCTTATTTACACACTACCTGAGTATAGGTATTAAAATAATACATAATAATATATATACATATATAGTGATGCATTCCTAAGTGTATAGAATAAGCATTTATGTTACACGTGTCTTTAAATGTATATTAATTTATATATCCATACTTCTAAAAAGAGAAAAATGTAATTTGGATAACAGTAAGCTGATGATTGTCTGTCACCATTTTATTTATCTAATTTTTATCATTTCTTTCTCTTTTTTTTTTTTTAAAGATTTCATATTGGAAATTATTTACAAGTTTGTCTCCATTTGATATCTCATAATTCTCATACAAGTTGAAATGTTTTTGCATTGTTTTTTTTTTATTTCTTATTTTGCTTCATCAGTGTATTTTTATGTCTGAAAATGTTTTTACAAAAGAAGAATAGAAGTTACTTTCAATGTTATTGTTTAGAAGATGACAGGAATTAGCAACAAAATAGGAATTAAATCCACTTCACTTGCTCATTTATCAATCAAATATTGATTTATCATATTTTTGCGAGTTGCTTTTATTCTCAAAATTTTTTGTCTGCAATTCTAAGATGTTAAACTGTAATGATTATTTTTTAAGGCCACTCATATTTCTCATTGAAGTGCTTGAGTGGGTGAAAACTGCCAATAAAATAGAACTGGATTACAAGCAGAATAAGATCAACAACTCTCTGCACTGGTGACATTCACCTGAATAAGACTGGAGACAGGACTGGCTATAATTTAAAAGCAAAAAAAAAAAAAAAATGACACCAGCAATAAAGATGGCCCCCAAATAACTTTGTATATTTATCCTCAATGTTTTAAAGATTTTTCATTTCAGCAAGCAATCATTGTGTATGTAGGCATGCTTTCCTTTCTTTTTTTCATGTAATACTTCATTGATATATACTTATATATATATATAAAATCAATACAAATATAAAATTTGTCATTTGGTTGATGTTACCTTCAGCATCTTGACTCTAGATTTTCATAGACGGACCCTCCAGCTATCACTCCATCCACTTGTCAGGAGATATCAGCAGTTGACTGCTTATTTTCTCTTTTTTTCTCGAGTTAAAAAAATCCTTTATACACTTTTCATTGTTGCAAAGTTGATTTTTTTTCATTGTGTGTGTGTGTGTGTATTTATATGTGGATGTACAATGTAAATAAAATCTAGATCAACATATTTAAGTCTGTCCTTTCTTTCCATAGTTAATACTTTAAATCTTAGTTTTTTAGATACTCAGTATATACATTACGTTCTCATTTTCTTTCTTTTTTCTATCCCATAATATTTATAACTATAATTAGTGTCAGCTTTACCAATTCCTGAAGCACCATTTAAAGTAAATTGATGTAACTAATAAGCCATTTCATTTGATAATTTATTGGAAATAGAATGGTGAAGACTAAAATAATCTTGTAATCTTATATAAATTAAATGCACATAACTCAATTGAAACCAAAGAATAAGCAAAAAAAAAAAAAAAAAAAAATAGACAAGCAGCTCTTAAAACAGATATTAGCAATAATCAAAGCACATCTACCAAACTGTAGAAAATTGCTTCTTTTGAGTTATGTAATCCTGTTATTAATATGAAGTGATGAAGAAAGGAAAGCATACAATGCATGAGTGAATAAAAAGATTCAAGCAAAATACAATGAAAATATATCAATTGTGGAATCCAAAAAACAAGATTTATTTAATTTATTTTATATACTCTTTTGTGTGATATTTTTTGAAAAGAGAATAAAAAATTACATGATGTTATACAAAAAAATATATTTACCAACACTTTACTCAAAGATCCTTATACAATGTCAACCAAAAACAAAAATATAAGATTCAACTCTACGAGGCTAGAGTAGCCAGATGAGATCTTGCAGTTTTTGTGGAAAGGCATACTGCTTTCATATATGTCTCATCTAGGAGCCTTTAAAAGAAATGAAAAACCTTCCCAACTTTTTGTACACAAAGTCAAACCATGATATATGTATGTGTGTATAAGATTATAAGTATTATTTAAAAATACACACATTATCACTCAAAATCTACAGGGGATGTTTGTTCTCATTCCTTTTCTGCAATGGATCAAAGTGTTGTTTGTTGACACTTCTTTCTAGGATCCTGCTTTGGATCAAAATCTTGTTGAAACATCTGCCTAGAATCAGAATATTTGAGCACTCTGCTATGAGTCAGTGTCACTTGTTGAAACTTCTGCCTAGAATCAGAATATCTAAGTACTCTGCTTTGGATCAAAATGTTGCTTGTATGCACTTTTGCCTTGGATCAGAATACCTGAGTACTCTACCTTGGATCAAAGTGATGTTCACTGGCACTTTTCTAAGTGTATATGCATTCGCTGCTTAGGGATCAAGTGGATTCTAGAGGAGATATCTGGACTTGAGCAACTTCCTATTCACCTAAATATGCACTGACAGACATGCTATTCCGTTTTGAAGAGAACTGTCATCACTCCTTGGCATGGATAGTATTTATCTATTAGGGAATTGTTTTAACCTTCAGGTAATAAACAAACCTGCTGTCCACAAAGTAAGAAAATCTGAACCTGTCAGAATTCAAGGAAAAGCACAAAAACTTATATTACTGGCTAAAATAAAGATATTGTTTATAAAGTAAAATAAAAAGACAGTTTTTATTTAACGTTAACTCCGTTCTTCAAGAAGACATTGTTTTGTTTCTTATCTTCTGCCATCTTTCAGGCAACTACATAATTTCATTCTACCCTAAACATTTTATTTTTCTCAGCAAAGAATTGCTTGAGGTGCTTTTTACTGTCTTCCAGGGAATTGAATTTTTTTTAAATTCAGACAATTCTGTAATGAATAGAGTAAATGGTAATCCAAAAGTACAGTATCTGGTGGAATATGGTAAGTGGGTAAAAACTTTGCAGTTACCAAAGAAACATCCAGTCTAGTATTATTCTCAGGGAGTATTTTGCCTTTTCTATTAAAGGCTCCAAATGTTGATTGCTGTTCTCATTTGGTTTAATTGTGGGCAGTACTTAACTTCTCCAAAAGGAGCTCCAAGAGTGCCTGTAAATTTGACAATGTTAGTGATTATTCATTTTGCTATTCATGTTTTCTTGCATTCCAAATTGTTTTTAATTACCTGTCACAAAGTATTTAAAAAGAAAACAACATTTAAGTATTACATTTATACTGTGGAGGTCATACATCAAAATGACTAACATAATGAAGCTGGTGCAAATGGTTTTCAGAGCTTGATTTGAATATTTTAAGCATGTTGGCTATTTTCCATGTATAATGTTGATTATTCTTAAGAAATGTCTTAATTTGATTGCTACAAATCTCAGCTTTGATTGTGAGAAATCTCCATTATGAAAATTTCCACACAACTTTTGATATGTTCAATCTTAGTACATTATCCATAAATTGCATAAATCTTTTTTATGTTTAAGTCACATTTTAAATTAAAATAAATATATATAATATAATATTCTAAAAATATTGCCTGCTTTCTTCGTATATTTATGACCAAATATTTTTAGGAACACATTGATTTAGCAGATGTAACAAACCCCTCCCCACCAAAACAATTAAA